GTCCCATAGATCTGGTTTGGCTACCCAAGGCTTGGCACAGGCTCTGTCATCTGAAGCCCCCAGCCCTCCTTTGGACCCCAGGAGGCAAGGCCCAACATATGCCGGCTCCTGTCAAGGCAGGGCCCTGGAGACACAGGCAGGCAGAGCTGGCCCCAGGGCCCTGGGCTTCAAACTAGGCTGTTGATCACCACCTTGTTTGGGGCTGGGCTGGGTGGGGTCTGGCTGGCCACCAGGGCTGAGAAGGAGCAGCGCAGCAGCAACAGTGAACGGAGGCCTTGAGCCAGGCGGCCATGGGCCAGGGTGACTTCAGCCTGCTGAAGGCGGGGGGTTGGGGGGGACAGGCTCGCTGCAAAGCCGACTTCTGGGTCAGTGAGTGTTGATGTACTTTGGGTTCACTCACTGCCCCAACATCTGCCCAGATGAGCTGGAGAAGTTGGTGCAGGTGGCACGGCAGCTGGAGGCTGAGCCCGCCTGCCCCTGGTGCAGCCTATCTTCGTTACTGTGGACCCCGAGTGGGACACTGTCTCAGCCATGGCCCACTACCTACAGGACTTCCACCCATGGTTGCTGGGCCTGACTGGTTCTGCTGAGCAGGTAGCCCAAGTGAGGCACAGCTACTGCGTGTACTACAGTGCAGGCCCCAAGGACAAGGACCAGGATTACATCGTGGACCACTCCATTGCCATCTACCTGCTCAGCCCTGAGCTGAGCAGATCTGAATTTTCTGTCCAAATCACAAACGCCTCCTCCTCTTTACTCAATTGATTTACTGTATTTGCTAATTAAATTAGAGCACCATCCCAAGCACGCAACATTAGCTAGGATGGAGAGGGGATGGGCATTCTCAGTATTTCTTCTGGGGAAGGAACACACTGCTCTTTTAGCATCATTGATCACAATTGATTACGTTGCTGATGTTTTACATCTCATATGTTGCTGATACTTCAAGTCACCAGATCAGTAATAGAAAATGAAGTTGAATGTAGATTTGTCAGTGTGTGTGAGACAGAACTTAAACTTCAGAGGTTTACAGCCTTGGTTCCTATCTTCATTTCCCTGCTAGGTGACTTAGGAGAAATTACTTCACTCAACTACATCTTAGTTTCCCCTTCTGTAAAATAGGGAAATACCAGCACCTGAATCAAAATATTTGGGTTGGAATTTCAAAGAGTTGATGTGTGTGAAGTTCTTAGTATGCCAAAATATTATTATTTCTATAACAATAATGTTTTTATTGTATAAATAGTTATTTTATTTCATACAATTATCACTTATAATACTATTTATAGGTATAAATATATCAATATTAAATATTTCATATTTATAAATATAATAACTAATCTAATTTTTATTACTGTCATCATTACTACACCAAGTATTATCGACTCTAAAACACCCAGATATTTTCTGTGTCTTTTACTCTGGCCTCAGAGCAGCATCTGGGAATGAAGCCAGATGCCTAGGGCTGAGGAAGGCAAGTCTTTTGTTACTAATAGAGAGACAGCCTGACTGGAGCACAGAAGCCTCCAGAAAGCAAGTCCCTCAGGGGCAATCATCTCCCCTCTCTCACACCCCTGGCCACATGCACAACATTCTTCTAACCTCCAAAGGCCAGTGTAGGGCCCAGCTCCTGGGGTTTATTTTGATAAATGTTTCAGGCCACAGAGCACTAAGAAACTTGATTCTTTCACTTTTCAAATACCAAACCTCTACCTGAAGAAGGAATGCTTAGATTAGAGCACAGAGATGAAAAGTTTTAAGTTAAACATGGAGTTGTCCCCTTAACCTATTGTCTGCTATGTTCCTCAACTCTGGAAAGTTGGAAGAAAAATATCTTCAGATAAAGACTATTATAAATCACTATTGAAAAGTTAAATATGATTTATCAAATGTTCATTTTATCTTGGAAAGCAGGGTTTTAATGGAACTGCCTTTACAGTTAAGGCCAACAATGCTCTTGAGGGAATTGTATGTATTTTAATAAAATCACTCTGCACAGTAACATAGCTCAAATTCTTTACTGTAGTTCTAAATTTTTTAGACCTCATGGTCAAAGTAAGTTTCACCTGGTTATTGTAAGAACACTGTATCTTTCTTTTTCACTGGAAAGGAGAATTATTTCTTGAGTACCTGCTAAGTGACATGTGTTTCACTTATATCGTACTAGTTAATACAGCAAATGTGCACCACCTTTACAGACCAGCAAGCGGACATTCAAAAAGATTAAAAAAACTCTCCTGAGTTCATAACACTAACAAGTGAAGGACGTAGGATTTGAACATAAGTGTGTGTGATTTGAGAGCCAAAGTCTTTAACGAAAACTGTAAAAAGGCTTCGTATTTCGACTGCGGTGTTGTAGAGCACTTTCATCTCATTGCATTCAACAGTCCACATACACAGCAGCTTATCTATAATTTGCAACAATTTATGCCTCTAGGAAAACATATTTTTGAAGTCTGAGAAAACCTCAATATGAAAAGTTGATCAGGTACCATCAGCAGTGAATGATCAATTCTTCTTCATGTATTTGCTTGTTTATTGACTATGTTCCTGCCATACTGTAGGCTCCATGGGAACCCAGCTTTATCCATCTTGGTCATCTCTGCATTTCCACCACCTAAGACAATTCTTGCCACCAAGAAAAATCTCAGTAAATATTTTTGATTAAAAGCATGAATGAATGACACATTTCTAACATGCCCAGGATTATGAGTCAATAGGAATTCAAATCAATTCTGACTTTCCCTCTGGAAATGAATGATGATGGCAATACTTCTAGTACCTTGTGGCATTTTCTCATTGCAACACATATAATAGAAAAGAAGTCTTTCCTTCTTTTTTGAAAATACCAGTCAAGGGGTGCCTGGGTGGCTTAGTCAGTTAAGTGTCTGACTTCGGCCCAGGTCATGATCTCACAGTCTGTGGGGTGAAGCCCTGAGTCAGGCTCTATGCTGACAGCTCAGAGCCTGGAGCCTGCTTTGGATTCTGTGTCTCCCTCTCTCTCTGACCCTCCCCTGCTCATGCTCTGTCTCTCTCTCTGTCTCAAAAATAAACACTAAAAAAAATTGGTTTAAAGAAAAAAAGAAAATATCAGTCGCTATCTATCAAGTCCAGAGACTATTATCATTCCCTATGAGTTTGTGATGGCACCAAATCTACACTGTTGAAGCCTGAAGAATTTTCTAACTTTGTAAGACATATCAAAAATTTCTCCTAAAAGGATGGTTTCCAAATTTAGTTAATGGTGACAACTGAAGCAGTGATGCTGGGGTGACATGATAACATGTAATGCTTTAGAGTTGACATCAGGTTTCTCTCATAGGTTTCTTCCTTATTAGTTAGCTCAGTTGGTTAGAGTTTGATATAATGAGGTCAAGGTCATGGATTCAAACCCCTGGTGGAACAATTAGCTTCAGCTTGTTCCCTGACATAGGGTTAACTCTGAGCCCTTCTATTCCCCTTGACTTTGGTTCTATGCTTCAGAAAGGCCAGGATAAACAGTCACACAAAGTAGAACAGATGCTTAGTGAAGGAATTGGAGGAGAGTCATCTCTCTATAAAATCTTCAGATTTCATATTCATACTCTTCAAAGAGCTGTGCTACTGACTCACACTTCCTTAACAATTGATTTTATACATTTCCTAATTATAGCTATAAACAGTGGAATAAGTCATCTATAAACAAGTCTATAAATAACCAATTGCCTTATATAAAATTAAATATGAAAAAATACTTCCAGTGACCAAAAGTAACCCTTTGGAATAAAACTTCTACTGAAATACATTAGCCAAGAGTTTGTCTTAATGGGAAAATAGCTACTCAAGTTATTGTATGGGTGAATACACACTTATAATAAATTTTATATATAGATTCTCAGAAAATTATTAGTGACTTTATAAGCAATAACAAGAATGCATCTCATTAACTGAGAACATTTAAGTCCTGGAGGAGATCAATTCCAGGAGACACACAGCCAAGCAGTCTACTTGCAATAAGGACTTATTCAATTTAAGTCAAGAGCTGAATAAGAAATTGGACCTGAATCTGGCCCACAGAAAGATGACTCCCTCTACTAAAAAAAAATGGAACGTCTTTAAAATGAATCCAGATCACATTAGCTTGCTGAACCAAATGCCAAGTGTTTATTTAAATATAATTTGCTTTTCTTACTGGAACCTCCAGAGAGTGAATGATTCCACAATTCATCAAGTGAAAAAAAAAAAAAAAA